CCAAAATGATTTACAACACTGGACTGCTGAAATGTTGGAGCCTGCAGGATGTCAGTGATGATCAATTATGGCAAGGAGATGTGGAGCTTCACCTGCTGAAGCCTGAGCCTGGTAGAGAATGATTCGAGACCTATTGCAATAGGTGTAAAGATTCTCACAATGAGATGGAGAATGAGCTCAACTCTCAATACAAGGTGAAGTGGGATTTACAGCCAAGGATCAGGGTGGTGGGGTTAATAGATGGGAATTACTAAGCAGAGACAAAAAGGTAGGAGTTTCTGGATAAACTGACCTTACAATATTGTTGCTAAAGGCAGGACAAAGCCTTAGACATCAAAGTTAAGGAATGAAGAACTTGATGAGATGTTGAGAGTGATCAGATACCAAGGGTGGGGGGATTCTTTCTAAACTGACTTAGCAGGATTCTTTCCTAAAACTGGGCAACGCAGCCCTCGCAAGAATAGGAGATAGGGGCTGGGGACTAGGGTTGAGGACTAGGGGAGAAGAAGGCTCAGAGGAGCCCAACTAAGTTTTGGTCAAGGTGAGTCTTGTCGCTGGATCCAGCTCCTCTGTGACAGGAGGAGAGAGCAGGCAGGGTCACAGGAAGGGCAGGGCTGTCCTGATGGCCTCTGGCCCCAGCTCCAGCACTCAGTGATTGAGTTTAGCAGGATTCCAAGCAGGAACAGGAACCACTCTCCACCGTCACTGCACTTTGCTAAAGGAATTGATGTTTAAGGTTACACAAACAGTGACAGGGAAGTGCCAACAGTGACCCAAACAGGATAAGAAAGTCTGACCAGTCAGCGATGTCAAGGAGATTACTCACCTCCTCAGAGTCATCTGTTTTCCTCGGGTCCAGGCCTCTGCAGGCTGCAGCCCAGGGAGTCAGACGGATCCCTGCCTGCAGCAGCCAGCCGCCCGAGATCCTGGAGGCCGCCTCTACTCCCCTCCACTCCTATGTAGTTCTTCAGTCACTGAATCTGCACTGATAAATACTCTTTGAAAAATAAATGTTAACTTGCATTCCAGAACCATGAATACTGTTCACCTACTGGTCCCTGAGAGGAAGGATTCTCTTTCTCTCCATGGAGTGCAAAACAATAGGACCTCAGGCACTGGGCTCTGCCCTGTCGCCTTTTCTTGCGGGAGCTACCAGCTGGCTTCCCCATAAGTATCACAGTTTCCTAATGATGTGGAAGAGCCCAATGTGTTACTGACATTGGCTCACAGTTTAGAACATCCATGTGTCCGCCACGTTTGAGGAGAGGGAGAAAAGAAGGAGCGATGGAGTGTGAACGAGACAAGCTTGACCCCAGAGAATTCCAGGCACTCCATAAAGGGGGCTCCTGGGCTTCCCATTTGAGAAGCCACCAAATCCTGTGGCTGCTCAGTCTCAGCTCCTACCATAGACCAAAGTGTTAGTTGCTCAAAACCCAGATGTGCAGAATCTCATCTCTTGGCCAGCTTGTCCTCACCACTTGCACCTTTAGGTGATGCTTTCTGCGCTTGGTCGTTTGTTTATTATAGTGTTGTTTAGCGTTCACTTATTACTGGTCATTCATTACAGAGAACCTCTGCCACTCACCTAATTTCTCATCCTGCTAATTCAGATGATCGGATCAGTAGTCACCCACGCAGCCTAGGCGAACACAGCTTTCTCTTTCGTCACGTGGCAGAAGGAAAACATGCCCCCTCCTGGGCAGCTGGACTCCTCCAGGTTACATGGGAGCTGGAGGCCCCAGGCTTGTTCCTCAGTCCATGGTTGCTATCTGGCCCCCTCCTAGTGTGTCCTTAAAACTGTGGACTATAGAAATCAGAGAACAAAGTGTTCTGTCACTTTTTTTTTTGAGGCGGGTGTTTTACTGTTTCACAGGCTGGAATGGAACTCCTGGACTCAAGGAATCGTCCTGACTCACCCTCCTAATTAGCTAGGTTTACAGGTGCACCACCACACCTGGCTACTCCATCATTTTCAAACATGTTGATATATCACTGCTGAAGTCTGCTCATCTCTGCTGGTCTGAACTCCCAGACACTATGCTTTACAAAGTAGCCTCTTTCTCCAGATTCACGACAGACACACCATTTGCCTACGGTCATCAAACATCTGGAGCAGCTGGCCAGCTACCCTAACCTGCCACTTCCTATCACTCCACAGTGGACATCGCACTTGTACCTACTCCTAAGAGCAACCTACACTGGTATCTTTCCTACTGGGATTAGAGAGGGTTGCTGCATCAGGACAGCTGACCCTCCGGGCAGTGCCGGCCAGTATCCTGACAGATGACCACTGGTGGTGTCATCACATACGGGGCACAGGTCAACACTCTGGCCTCCCTCCCTCACACTCCACCCACCAGCACATTCTCGCTATTTGGGTTACCTGCATCTCCCTTCCACTGATTTAAAAAAAAAAAAAATACAGGATTGCTTGACCTTCAGCTTACCCTCTGCACAGCAGCATGTCTTCCTGAGTCTGGACTCCCAGCTCTCCCGGGAAAGTGGGAGCCACAGAGGAGAACTAACTCCTACCCTTTGGAGATGACCATTGTGCTCACAAGCACCTAGTTTGGGACTTCCCTCTCTTTCTCTCTCTGGGAATCTCTCCCCATGTCCTGTCTAACTAGGAGGCATATGTGCAGCCCTGTTTCAAGACCTTCCCTCCCTCACCCAGCAGTAACCACCATCCCTGGGCCACCTGCTGTATCTGCTGGGCTGCATGGCTTTCTAGGGGTGCTGGATTCGCAGTGTGGTGAAATGGTCACTGGGCCTTGGGTAACAAGGTCCCCTGTCCTAATACTGAACATGAGCACCCAAGAGTAATACTGTTCCCGCTGTCGGGTTCCTGCTGATCCAGCCGCAGCCATGGCCGAGCCCCAGGATGACAGCAGGTCTGGGCTGATTCTGGCCAACCCTCACCTCGACCACTCCCGGGAGAGTCCTCTGGGTGCCCTGCAAAGGCCCAGCGTTTCCTGGTGTTTCTGGCCAAGCTGCCACCTCACCATAAGGGCATTTGCCACAGGGTCACCTTCAGGCGTGGAGGGTGTGGTTGAGACAACAAATGGAACAGCTGTCTGTTCAGAGCCTCCTTC